AAACAAAACTGCCACTGAGAACACTGACCGGGGCGGGGGGAGGGGGATGTTTGTTACTGCAGCACAAGGTGGCCCATCCTGACTAATTTACCTGACTTCATACAGGAAGAAGGGGAACAACTCTCAAGTCTCCGGAACACAGTGGAGCCTGGACAGGAGCACAGGCCTTATCATTCTGAAACACACTGACAGACAGCGGGCATTTGGTCTAGTGGTTAAAACGTCCATGTCTCGGAGCACAGTAGGTAAAGCCTCTGCCTGCAGCACCGGCATCCCATACGGACACTAGTTCGAGTCCCGGCTGCTCCTCTTCCAATCCAGCTCTCTGCTATGGCCTGGGAAAGCAGTAGAAGATGGCCCAAGTCCTTGGGCCCCTGCACCCAGGTAAGAGACCCGGAGGAAGCTCCTGGCTTTGAATCAGTGCAGTTCTGGTGGTTGCAGCCATATGGGGAGTAAACCAGCAGATGGACGATCTCTCTCTGCTCTGCCTCTCTGTAGCTCCCCTTTCTTTTTTAAATTTATCTTGTTTATTTGAATGACAGAGTTATAGAGAGAGGTAGACACAGAGACAGATTTTCCATCTGCTGGTTCACTCCCCGAATGGCCACAATGGCCAGAGCTGAGCCAATCCGAAGCCAGGAGGCAGGAACTTCTTCCAGGTTTCCCATATGGGTGCAGGAACCCAAGGACTTGGGCCATCCTCTGCTGCTTTCCCAGGCACATTAGCAAGGAGCTGGATCAGAAGTGGAGAAGCTGGGACTTGAACCAGCCACCCATAAGGGATGCTGGTGCTGCAGATGGGGGCTTTAACCCACGATGCCACAGCACTGGCCCCTTGCCTTTCAAATAAATAAATAAATCTTTTTTTAAAAAGGTCATGTATCAGAGTCCCTGGGTTTGACAGCTACCTCCTGCTCCTGACTCCAGCTTCCTGCTAGTGTAGACCCTGGGAGGCAGTGCTGATGGCTCAAACAATTAGGTCCCATGTGAGAGACCTGCATTGTTTTCCAGCTCCTAGCCCAGCACCAGCCTTGATGGGCCTTTGGGGTGTAAAACTGAAGATGGACGCTCTCTGTGTTTCTCTGCTTCTCAAATAAAAATAAATTATAAATTTAAAACCATTTTGACTCAACCGTATTTCCAAGCACACACAGGTAGATGACTGAGGTAGCCAATTGTTTTACAAAATACCTACAGCCTTGATTAGTTTTCACCAAATTCACTGTCTAGGGCTCCAGTGTGGACTACGTCCAGACTTCTATCATAGCCCACTGAGGCCTGGCAGAGGGGACTGAGCTGGGCCACAGGGAGTGGGGGGCCTTTTGGTGAAAATGCCTGGATCACAGTGGAATAAATAAAATAATTCGGTTCTCCAGCCACGCTAACCACATCTTAAGTGCTCAATAGCCACATCTGGCCAGTGGCTACCAGATAAGACAGCCCAAATAATAATAATAATAATAAAAGACAGCCCAAATATACAACATTTCTGTTATCACGTAAAGTTGCACCACACAACATGCATGGAACCTAGAAAAATGCTTGAATCATACAGCTCACCCATAAAATAAATCAACATAGATTTTTCCAAATTTGACAATAATCCTAATAACTTACATATTACCAATAATAACTTGAGAAAATAGAGTAATTTTTTTTCAAAAACCAGAAGGAACTTAAATACTCTTTACAAATGCTAATACTTTACTAATATGAAATTGTCACAAAAAAGGTGACTAAAGGATATGCAAGCTAAAAAAAAAGGGAAGGAAAAAGTATTGTAAAGGTATCAGAAAGTTAATAAAAATATTTTTATGATTTTGTGATGAGTATACTATGCCCAGTTTTACATTTTTAATTTTATCCCTTTTAAACATCTAAATACACACTTGCGCAGCTAACTCCGCATTGGCAGTTTTGTAGTCCTTTCCTGAAGTGGCTATCTCTACCTCCCAAAAAATAATATATAAAGTTCAGTTCCTTTAGATCTTTTGTTTTAAACCTAAAAACGTATCTTTTTAAAAGAGAGCAAAGTATGGACTGTGAAGTAGTGTCAAATAAAATGTAAATGTTAAACACTGGATATAGCACCTGTGCAAATACAGCATTCTTCACTCTCTTGATAGATCTGATCTTAGAAAGTAATCACTGGGCCTTTAAGGCAAAATCCCCGACAGCCTGTTCTCACATTTTGAATACTGAATTAAGGGGGTATAGTTCCACACGGGCATGGTATTGAATAACGTCCCTCTCAAATCCGTGTCCATCCAGAACCCGTGAACAAGACTGCATTTGGAAATGGGGTCTTCTAGATGTAGCAAAGTTAAGCAGAGCTCATCCTGGAGTAGGGTGGGCCTTAACTCCAACACCCGGTGTCTGTGTGTAAGGACAGGGACAGCTCGGGGCGCAGGCGCACAAAGACAGGGACTGGAGCTGCGCAGCCTCCTGAGACTTGGATGTGGTTTTAGCGCATCCCCCAAGGTCCTATGGGTTGGGAGCCTGGCCCTCTTGCTAGAAAAGGCACGGGAGAATTCTTCTGGGAGCTTCTGCAAAAATGGCTGCCCCAGCACTGTGACTATGGACTTCCGGCTGTGAGAATAAGTCGTCAAACCTGTAGTATTTATTAGAGTAATCCTAGGAAACTAACCCTATACCCTAAGTACTGAACTGATCTAATTGTTCGTCATCCTATCCTATAATTTGTGTGCAATAATTTATTGAAGAACACTTACAATACTGAATTTTATTTATGCCAAACATCACATATTAAACATACAATTCCAACTAATTAAAATGAACAGTACAAGAACACATGAAATAAACACTACATTCAGGTTTGACCTCACTGAAGGCACAGGAAGTATAATACGCTGCTGCTACACCTTCAACCCCGACTTAACAGACACAAGTAAAGCCACATGAGTAATCTATGAAGCGTGAATGCGACAACACACTGCCTATCTCTATCAGCTTAATAAATGTATACATAAGTGTGTTCGTTCAAATCTGCTCTTCTAAATAAACAGGAAAAATACATTAATTGTAATGGGTAAAATGATTTCACAACCATAAAACTGAGTTGCTAAGGACACTAGCCTCCACGCAAAGAACAATATATGGGGAGCATACACACAGCATTCCACCCTATGGATCAACGGTTTTTGCCAGGCTTCAGTGGAAAGTTCTGTGTGGGGGTGGGGTACACAGCGTGAGGGGAAAGTCTTCATGATCAGACTGTACACAGTACAGGACTGGGCACAAGCGGTAAAGGTAACACAGCGTGGAGGGCAGCAAAGGCCCCGCCGCAACCTTTAAAAGCCATCCCTGAAAAGCCAAAGGTCAGAGAGATTCGTGTCCCATACCCCACCTTCATCCTTAGAGGCCACGTGTTGCTGGCAGCAAAGCTCCTTGGTGTACCTGTCACTCAGGTCCCGTCTTTCTGCCCGGGAGCTGCCACAGTGCAGAGGGAGCAGGGGACCTGCTCTGATGACTGAGAGCAGAGCCCTTTGCTGCAGGACAACAGGCAGGGGTTCCACTGCTGAGAGTCTGCACGCACACACCTACACACACATATACACACATATACATATGCACACATATACACACATACATATACACATATACACATTCATACACAGATATACACACATACATGCACGTATGCACACACAAACATGCATACACATATGCACACAAGAACATACACACATGTGTATACATGCACATGTGTGTGGACATGTACATATATACACACGTGCACATATACATATGTGCACAGGTACACATATACATGCACACATGCATGTGTATACACATATACCATAGACATACACACATACATACACGTACACAGACACAGATACGCATATACACACATACACATGCACACACAACATACATATACACATGTACACATATACACACAAAACATACATACACATGTGCACATATATGTACACATATGTACATGCACATGTGTATGTACATACATGCACATACACACATACATACGTATAGATACACATAAACATGAATACACACATATGCATATGCACACATACACATATACATGCATATACACAGATACACATATGCATACACACATGCTTATGCACACACATGCGCAGATACATATATACACATATGCACACACATAAACACATATACGCATGCATGCATATACACACATATACAAAAGGATGCACATACACATGGATACACATACATACACAGACATACACATACACAGACACACACATACACACATATATACACAGATACATACACATACACATATATACATGCACACACATACATACACACACACACAATGGGGCATGCCCATGAGCCCAGTCCTGCCCTTCCTGAACTGAATTGAACTTGGCCTAAACTGACTTCCAGACTTGGGCGCTGAGGTCAGAGGTCAGTCTCTGTGCCTGGTGAACAGCATCCTACCAGCAAGGAGTCCACCCTGGTAACCAAACAACTGAACAACTGCCAACCACAGCCACTGAACTCTCAGCCAATCCCAGGCTGAATACTGTCAAGCTCCACACACGCTGAAAGGTGTTCCATCAGTGACAGTCTGCATACATGCTGGTGGTCCAAGCGAGGCACCAGGGGCCCACTGAGCCCAGCCATCTCTCAAAGTAGCTGGAGCGCATGAGTAAGTTTCCTTCTCAGAACTCAAGCTCTACTCCTTTTATGTCCTGAGCTCTCAAAATTGATCAAACAATCCTTTTCCTCCTTCCTTTACCCCCTTTTCCTACTTTATTGGAATCAGTTACAAGGCCTCAGGTGTCCAGGTTAGACATGGCTTCAGGGTTGGGCTGGATCCAGTGAAGGGCCACAGGTAGGGATGTTTTTTATTATTATTTTCAACCTTTTATCTTTTTATTCTTTGCCTCGTGATAATGGGCTCATCACAATCCAAGGAGTTTAGGACTCCACTTTCTGGGGCTGCAGCTAAGTTCACGTATCAGAGTAACGACCCCAGGTGCCGGTTTCAGTAGCCCAGATACCAAAACTGGAATGGCTCAGAGAAGACTAGCACGGTCCCTGCGCGAGGATGACACACAGACCTGTGAAGCGTTCCCTGTGTGGGGCCCTGGGTGCAGCAATTTAAGCTGCTGCCTGCGACACTAGCACCCCACGCTGGAGTACTCAGGTGCTGGCTACTCCACACTTCCGATCCAGTTTCCTGCGAACGCACCTGGGAGGCAGCAGATCATGGCCCAACTACTTGGGTTCTCACCACCCTCACAGGAGACCTAGATGGAGCTCCTGGCTTCTGGCACTGCCCCGGCCTAGCCCTGGCTGTTGCGGGCATTTAGGGAGTGAACCAGCAAATGGAAGATCTCTCCTGACCATGCCCTCTCTCCCTTTAAAATAGATCTTTAAAGAAAAAAAAAAGAATTATGACCCCAGTACATATGTGTTGAGAGGCTGGGTTAACCTAATTGGAAACATCTTAGAAAAACATGAGAAAACTTTAACTTGAGTAGAATTATTTGTGAAAGATTTTAGAAAAACAAGGGTCAATGAACCCCATATAAACATTGGAATATGGTCTTTAATTCGTATGTGGAGGCACCTAAAAGGCTAAATAAATGATAAATTTCCTCCTTAAAAAACTCTGCAGGGGCTGGCACTGTGGGTAGTGGGTAAAGCCGCTGCCTGCAGTGCCAACATCCCATATGGCCTCTGGTTCGAGTCCTGGCTGCTCCACTTCTGATCCAGCTCTCCGCTATGGCCTGGGAAAGCAGTAGAAGATGGCCCAAGTCCTTGGGCCCCTGCACCCACGTGGGAGACCCAGAAGAAGCTCCTGGCTCCTGGCTTCGGATCTGTGCAGCTCCAGCTGTTGCAGCCAATTGGGGAGTGAACCAGCGGATGGAAGACCTCTCTCTCTCTCTCTGCCTCTCCTCTCTCTGTGTAACTCTGACTTTCAAATAAATAAATAAATCTTTAAAAAAGACTCTTTGCTAAAAGCAAGTAAAAAGCTTAAACAACAGATGAAGGACACACAAAAAAGGACTGTTCTTTGCCTGAACTAGCCTCAACCTCTCCTTCTCTCTGGCCCCTTTGCCTGAATACTTGGACACCACTACCACTCTTAGCCAACTGCCTGTTCTCCGTGATGAAGTTAAAGAAGCAGTTAGCTAGATGCATAGAGAGAGAACTTCTGACCAACCAGCTCTCCATGACTGCCTTTTCTCCCTGGTCCAAGGCAGAGAACTAAGAGCCATTGCAAGAGATTCCCCAATTCCCAAAGCAACTCCTCAAAAACTTACCCAAGGATTTATAATCCCATAGGAGCTTACAGTTCAGAACTCCCTGACCTTCATCAGCGTGATCACCTGATCTTATCAGAAGAGGGTGACACAGCAGAATTGAAGGAACCTGAGGAGGATATTAAAGGCCTATCCAAGGCCTCTTCGAGGAAGGGACCGAGGCGAGGTGGGAACACGGCTACACGCCTTTTAACATCAATGCCTAAAGTTCGTGCACAGAAAACTGATCGGTCCATGATACAACCCTGTAGGCAAAAGGGGATGAGCCAGTTTCAGATTACAGAGCTCACTCAGAAAAACTGTGAAGCACTCCAGGCTCAAAATACATCAAGGAATATCTTTTGTGAAAGACTGAAATGGCATTAACTGCTTTAAATGGATTTTGTCCCAAACTCAGCAGGTTAATTAAGAAACATAAACTGGAATGGAGCGGTACAAAGACAGCTGAATTAGCGGCTGCCGCTGGCCATTTTGGTAGGACAGTAGAACAGGAAAAAAAAAAAAAAAAAACCTCAAGGGGTGTATCTCATCAACTACAACTGCAGGGATCCTGACCCAACAGACTTCCCCATGGTTGTCTGAAACGAAAGCTGAATGAGGAACTGGGTGCCTCCAGGTCTCTGCGAAGAACCAGGACCCTGGAGAAGTTGTTCACTCTTAGGGCCAACAAAGGTCTTTCTTTGGAGTTGTGCTGTTTGCCCACCAGGGGGAGCCCTCAAGAAAACAGTCAACACTGAAGGAGTTCTGAGAGGCATCCCAGTAAAATGCTCCCTGCACTCATGGAGTAAACAGAGAGAAAGAAAACTCAGGATGAAGGGGCAGTCCTGCGCTATCCTGGTGATGTGGGAGCTGCCTGATCCGATCTACAAGCCCTAATTTCAAAAATCAACAAACCCCTTGGGGTCACTGCAGTGCTGCCTTTGGGCAGAATTGACATGGTTGAAGCTCGGACCTACAGTTTCCCTGATCTTTCTAAAAGACTTGAATGTTTATGGGCTGCTGCTTCTACTGTTTGTAGCAAGGCTTAAGAATGTAGATACTAAAAATCCCAACTGATCATTCCATACAAGATCCACTGCAACAATTCAAGGACTCCCGTCAACCGTAGCAGATATGATTGAACGTGGCTTTACGATTCTGTCTACCAGCCCTTGTAACACTCCGATCCTACCAGTAAAGAAATCAAATGTGTGAAGGTCACATGTTCAAGACTGACGAGCAAACTGACAGAACTGTGACACTGAGGTTTCCCGTCGTTCCAGATCCTCACCCATATGGTCTACTGTGCCCACTGATTCCAAACAGTTCACAGAGACCTTCGTTCAGCTTCCTTTAGCCAATCAGTTGAGAGAAGAAGTCAATGTTTGCCTTTCCTTAGAAAAATCAACAATTAATCAACTTTAATGCACAAGGGTTTACTGAAGCCCCCTTTTATCTTCCCCAGACATTGCATTATGACTTGGCAATCCAGGGCTTTCCATGAAATTCTACCTGCATTCAGTGCATAGGTGATCTGTTACTTCCCACTAAATAGTGCTCTGTGACTGACTCAGTTTACCTCTTACAACAACTTGTGCAAGGGTTTGGTGGAAATTTAGGGTATAACATGACAGCGGAAGTAATTTCCCTCTCACTTGACGGAAGAACCATGCAAAGCTTTCCGTTGCCTTATAGCTAAGAGAGAGTTCAGAGGTTTTCTTGGACTTGCAGGATACTGCAGGCCCTGGGTGCCAAATTTCTCCTAATAGCCACACCACTGTGTGCATTCACTAGAAAAGCACCACTAGAGCCATTACCCTGTAAACACAAGCACAAACAGGCTGCTAACCAGATGAAACTGGCCTTACCACAGCTTCTCTGGGACTTCCAACTTATACTAGACCTTTCATTTGCTTTGTTCAAGGGCCTAACAATCAGGCGTTAGAAGAGGTTCTCCAAGAATGCGGAGGGAAACATAGGCCTACTGCATTTCTCGGCCCGAAGATGGACTCAATAGTTAAGGCACATCCCAATTGTTGGAAAGCAGTAGCAGCGGCAGTCACATCCGCAGTGCTTTGTGTAAGTTTTCGGGAATGAAGCTTTTTCATACATTCCATTATACTGTGGGGAGTCTACTGAATTCCAGCCAAACTCAGCATCTTTCAGGAAGCAGACCAACATCTCTGCGACTTACCCAGCCCTGCCAGTTTACTGTATTTGTGGGAGGATCATGATTATGTAAGTGCAGTATGAGGTTTAGTGACTTCCCACGCAGATGTATGGGGATACACCACTGGATAAGCCTGACTTGATCATTTTTGTTGATGGGTATTACAGCAGAAACTTAGATGGGAAATACCAAGCCGAGTAGGCTGTTACCACCCAAATGAACTAATAGAGAAAGAGACTTTTCCCCATGTTAACTTAGCTCAACCTGTAGAGCCTTAGGCTCTTACTCAAGCTTGTCATATAGCTAAAGACAATTTGGAAAATATTTATACTAATAGCAGACATGCTTTGTGTCGCTCCCCCTCTTCGTGGAGGAGCAACACAGGACCCTGCGCTGTTCTTTCGTCTGCTCGGCCCTCCCCGGGTTTGCTGCTGGTTCTTCCCGGGTTGGCTACTATCCCTTCCACCTCCGTGGAAGGGCAGTTCCCCCTGGCCACATTCCCCACTTCCGCAGGGGAGCGGCACACCGCCGGCCAGCTTTCTCGGGGGCTGCACGGGTTCCCTTAGATGTTCCCCATAGATGTTCCCGGTGCATGCCGTTTCTCTCCTCCTTTATAGTCCTCCTCTGCCAATCCCAACTCGGCCGCCCACACGCCGAGCACGCTGCTCTCCAATCAGGAGCAAGTCCTACAGTCCATCAGTTGAACTGGAGGCAGCTGTGCGGAAGCTGTTTACTTCTCTCCCAGCGCCATATTGTGGGAGAGCAGATGCATAGAATAAGTCTTAATTCGAGTAACTTAGTCTAGTCCGGATTGCTCCCCACACTTTGGAGTTGTTTTTGACTTTAGAATGTTATTAAAACAGAGATAATTTCCCACTTCTAGTAAGACTCACCAACAACAACAAAAAAGATTGCAAGTAGATGCAGTCCTTTCTGCTCACCGGTTTCCATCACAACTTGCTGTTAAGACTGAACCCCAGGGCGGTCGCTGTGGCACACCAGATAAAGCCACAGCCTGCACTGCTGGCATCCCAGTGGGGTGCTGGTTCACATCCCAGCTGCTCCACTTCTGACCCAACGCCCTGCCCATGGCCCGGGAAAAGCAGCAGATGGCCCAAATTTTTGGGCCCCTGACACCCATGTGGGAGACCCAGACAAAGCTCCTGGCTTTTGGCTTTGGCCTGTCCCAGGCTTGGCTGTTGTCACCACTGGGGGGAATGAACCATCAGATGGAAGATCTCTAACTCTGACTTTCAAAATACATAGATAAATCTATCTATCTATCTATCTAAAGACTGAATCTCATATCTGTAAAACTGATGCTGGATAACTAAGGAAGTGTCATGACAGATTGTCATGCCAAGTCAACTAATGTTGATATGGTTAGGCAATTTGAATGAACTCCCTAAGACTGATCTAAGTCAACTTCTCTAGGATGATCTGCTCAATAAACAATACAGTGAACCCAATTCAGAAAAAAAATAAATAAAACTGTCATCTGAAAAGATGGAAGTGAGTGTTGTGTATGGATTCCTAGACGTTTGCACAGCTTCCTGGCCATCCCTGAATCCTTGACGCTTCTACTGCTAAAAGCTTTGCACTCTACAACTGACATGAAACAGGCAAGATAATCCGAAATATGAAAAAAAAAATCAGTGGGATGA